GATGGCTCTGGGCAGGGCGGCCACCAGCCGCTCCTGCATTTCGGGGCTGCACAGGATGTAGTCGGGGGCCACGCAGGTCTGGCCAGCGTTGAAATAGCGGAAAAAGGCCACTCGGTTCGCCACGGTCTGGGCGTCACAGTTGTCGTCCACGTAGCAGGGGTTCTTTCCACCCAGCTCCAGCGTGACAGGCGTCAGGTGCTTGGCGGCTGCGGCCATGACAATCTTGCCCACTCGAGGGCTCCCTGGGGACATGGGATGGGCCTTCATCCTCAACTGGCCTTGGCCAGATGGTTCAGACACCACCTGGGATCTGCCTGGCCAAGCTCCCCAGGATCCCGCCCCTCAAGACCCAGAGGCCTGGCTGGTTGCCATCTGGGACACTCCCCACTGGGGGCCACAGCCACCTACCCCATGGCCTTTTCAACCTGCTCTTGGATGTCCCTGACCCAGGACACTGGCTGGGGCCATCCTCACTGCTGGGGTTCTTGTCCCAGCATCAAGAAGGGTTCAGGAGTCTGGAGAAGGGGCTGTGCGTAGGTGACATAGGAAACCGGGGACTAATAAAGAGTCCGGAGACCAGATATAATTTTGAAAGGCATTGGGGGTCAGAGGACCTTCAGCTAAAGGAACTGAAGACTCCCTCCTTGCCTAGGACCCTTGCTTTTATTAACACAATTTGTCCTAAGGCAAGGTGGAGATAATACACTTCAAAGGGTAAGGTTCAAAGGGTACAGAAGCATTGTCAGTTTGGCTATTGGGGTGTTTGGCCAGTAGGAGGCAATAACATGTAGATTAAGATGCCTTTTAGCTGTCTGGCAGCCACAATCAGTTTAATGTATCCTATTCAGGTTTGGGGAAATGCCTTGAGCCATTCCCAGATGCAGGTGACCACATGTGTGACTCAACCCTGCTGAGTCCCCAAGTCTCATCAACCTTTCGATGAAACTCTTGAAATTGTGACATGTTGGACTTGGTTCCCGGCACCTCACCCGTAAATAAAATGTAGTCAAACTTGTGTTTCAGAAGCTGCCCGGCCTCCTCGGGGCCCCCCAGCATCACGGCAAAGCAGCTCTGCAAGGAGGGACCGCAGCTCAGGGGACTCTGTGGGCCCCGGACAGCCAGACCTCCCAGGCGGGCAGGGGCAGGGATGCGGGACACGGGGCTGAGGGGGGAGGGCCACGCTCACCTGGTCCAGGTACCGGGGCAGCACCTCGGCCAGGACCTTCTCTGTGCTCTGGCTGATTTCTGATGGCTTCAGCACCACGCAGTTCCCTGTAGGGGCGGATGGGGGAGACACAGGGGGACGCTGGTGTCCCCACCCCCACCCCTACCCCGGGGCTGTCATCGGAAAGCAGAGGTGCAGGGAGGGTGTGCGAGGCTAGGGCACAACGTAATGGAATTCTGGGGCTCCCCTGTGGGAAGGGAAGGTGGGCCAGGAGGGCTCGGACCCTCTCCTCACCGGCCGCGAGGGCGCCCACCAGGGGCAGCAGGCTCAGGTTCACGGGGTAGTTCCAGGGGCTGAGGATGAGCACCAGGCCGAAGGGCTCCTTCCGGATGAAGGCGGAGCTCAGCTGCGTTAACTGGGGTGCAAGATGGATGGTGAGACCCAGCCAAGGACACCCCTAAGTCCCCTACTTCCAGGGCCCTGGAGGTGCCTGTGCAGTGGCGTCCCCATGAGGACACAGAGGTCCTGAGAGTCAGGGACTCGCCCTGGCTCAGGGGTGCGAGGGGCCCAGCCAGCAGCTCACCAGGTTCTTGGCCACTGGCTGGTCCTTCATCCAGGCATGCAGGTTCCGGAGCGCCAGGTCCACCTCCTTCTGGCACAGGATGATCTCGGACATGTCCGCCTGGAAGGCTGACTGCGGCGGGTGAAACGCAGGGTCAGGCCCTGCCCCAGGAAGGGGTCTAGTGTGAGGGGTCCCCCGAGGTCCCTACCAGGGACACGGAGACAGGCTCCGGGGACAGCACAGCCGGGCACCGCACGACCCTGGGCAGGTGGCCTGGGCTCCAATTCCAGCTCTGCCACTTGCCAGCTGTGGGGGCGGGGGGGGGGCTTGGGCACGTAGTGTAACCCCCACTCTCTCAGTTTCCCCATTGGTAACAAACAACGATCCAACCTGCCTCGCAGGTGTGAGGAGTTAACGCTGACAGTGCCTGTGTGCACTGCGTGCCAGGGAAGGTCTGTGAAACGAACAGGGTGAACTGGGACACGGCCAGCTCCCCCTCCCCTGCCTGCCTCCCGCCACCCCTCACCTTGCGCAGGTCCTGCGCCAGCGCCTCCTGCAGCAGCTGCTTGTTGTCCTGCAGGAAGCGGCCCAGGCCCTTGAGCTGTGCAGCCCGGAACTCCGCCGGCCGCGTCCGCCCCGAGCGGAAGGCCTCCCGAAGCCGCTGCAGCGTGTCCTCGAAGGGGTCCCTCCTGCCGGGGTGAGGGCAGTGTGGGTCGGGGCCCCCCACCTTCTCAAGCACCGATCCTGCCTCTGCCTGCCCCACATGGGCTCACAGACACCCTTACTGGGACTCACGTGTGACCCCAGAGGTCCAGGGCTGGCCCTGCACCCCACTAACACACGGATCTTCATGCCTCCCCTCCACCCAGGGCACCAGACCACAAGCCAAACCCGGGAGCAGGGCTCTTTGGTCGGTGCCCCCTCTGGGCCTAACCCAGGCCCTCTGAGGGCTCTGCCTCCGAGGCCACAGAGCTTTTGAAGTGGCAGATGGGGAAACTCAGTGTCTCTGTCTCATTCTCTCTCTATCTCTCTGTGTGACGTCCGTCCCAGGTGCCGCTCCCATTCCAGGCGTGGGAGAGCAGGCAGAGGGAGTCTGGGGACCCCAACCCCAGCTCAGCTATCATTTCCCAGGTGAGGCAGGCAGGACAGGGGTTCCCTGACTTCCTCAGCCGTCCTCGTCTGTGTCGGCACCGTGCACACCGGGAATGCCTGGGGACAGCTTCAGGCTCAGCTTGTCCACGGCCCAATCCAAAGGCCCAGACCCACCATTGCCCAATAAAACGAGGAAGCAGACCCATGGCTAGGGGCTGAGGTCTCCAGCGTCCCCACGGGGCCTGGATGGAGCTGGACGGCTGGCTCCTGCTTCTCATCCTCGGTGCCTCCCTCCTCGCCTCCCGCTGCAGGGAGCAGGGACCCGGCTCGCTGAGGGCGGCTGACCCTGGTGGACTTGCGCCACAGAGGTCGCCACAGCAAACTGGGCCAGCGCTCGGGAGGAACCCATTCTAGACCTGGAACAACGCTGACAGCGAATACAGCAGCTTACAGGCGTGAACAGGGTGTGCAGGCTCTGTGGGAGGCCGGCCAGAGGCTCTGACTGCAGTGGGGAAACAGGTGCTCTGAACAGAGGGCCCCGCCTGTGCAAAGGCCCTGTGAGGGCAGATCTTGAGAGCAAGATGCAGCAAGATTCACTAGGGAGTCGGAATCTATTCTGTGGGCAACGGACGTACCGCAGCCCCGGGGGCGGGGG